AGTAATGATACCTGGCAGAAAGGATGTTTTGCTGTTGTGAGTTGATCACAAAGGAAGGTTTGTGTAACAAAAGGGGTCCCTACCAATTAGACGAAGTACTTGACTAGAAAGAGCTATATTTTTATGGAGGGAAGTTCTTACATATTTTTCTCCAAAATGTTGAATCCTGCCAGTCAAGATCCTTTTTCCTTTTTCTATCTTTCCAAATGATATATTATTTTCTTAAAAGACATTTCTTCAGGCTTCTTTTTTGTGAGTTAGATTATTTGAATTCATTTGTTAATTTCCACTGGGCTAATAATATAGCTTCAAAGAGATCTGCTGTTTTCAAACCCTGATATTCAAAATCTCTATTCCTCCTTTTCACACATTTATAGAGTCCCAGAGCTGCTGAATACCAGGGTCAAGTTCTCTTTTTAACAAACAAAAACGTCCTTAGTCTTGAATTGAGACCTCTGCCTCACCATCCTTACACCCCCGAGAGACCGGGAGGATTTGCCTTGGTCTATGGCAAGGCATTTGCAGACACAAATGTGAGGGGAGGGGACTGCCACTAACAAGACACATTTGAAAACCACCAACCTAACTTTGACTCGTTATTCTGTAACCTTTATATTCTCTTACCATTCTCTTGTGAACCCTCAAAGTGAGCGTTCCACTAGTGAGGACCTTCATTTCCTCCTTCTACATGCTGCCCGGAGATTCTAGTTTGTCATCCTTCTCAGGAATGGGAGTGTTTTCTTGCCACCTGTCACCCTGGGACTGTTGGCAAAAATATTTGTCTGAGGAGGAGATGAATCAAGATTTACTGGGTGTTAGCTTTGCTGTGGTCTATTTTGTCAACCTGTTAGTTAGTCGTAACTATCTGTCACACCCTTACAGGTACAATTTACACAAAATGAATCATTTCAAAATATATTCTGTACAATTTTTATTTAGAACATAGATGTTATTCCCAAAGGGCCTCAGTTTGCAAGGCTGGTTTAGCTGATCTACCTTTGCCTGCTTTGTAGAGGCTTGGAACTGATTAAGGTTTAGATGCTGATCATCACATGGGTTAGGACTCAACAATTATACAAGACTCACACTTACTAAATTCTTCTCATTTAAGCATCTAGAGACTCTCCTGTGCCTGTATAATCTTTATTTGATATATGAGAAAACTAATATAACCGGAGCAATCTTTTTTTCATTATGTTTTAATGTTAGATATACATAAAACATGGCATAAAACACATAGAGGTTAAAGAATAATTTTTCATGGAACACCTGTGGGACACCACCTGCTCAATCATAACGCAACTCAATTCCCCTTCTCCTGGTTGCCACCATTATCCTGGATCTTGTTAATATTATTTGCTTTTTTTTATAGTTTTTTCACCTCCGTGTACCTAGGATTAGGTTTGTTGGGTAGGGAGGTATGAGTATCTTCAACTTTATTGGAAAAAGCCAAACATTTTCAATAGTGATTGTACCAATTTGCACTCCTGCCACAAGAGTGTGAGTTTCCATTGTTCCACATTGTCACTAACACTCAGTTTTGTCGGACTTTAAATATTCCTGATTATTAATGAGAATGAGCAACTTTTAATATATTTGTTATTTGTATGTCCTCTTTTTGGGGTGCCTGTTGAAATTTTTGGCCTGTTTTTCATTTTCTATAGTTTTGTAGGAGTTATGCATATACATATTTATACTAGATCTTTGATTATTTGTTTCAAGTATATTCTCTCACTCTGGCTTGTCTTTTCCCTCTCTTTATGGTGTATTTTGGTGAAAAGACATTCTTAATTTTAATGTAGTCAAATTTATCAGTTTTTTTTCTTTACATATTGTGCTTTTTAAATCTTAAGTCCTTTCCTGTCCTGAAGTGATAAAAATACTATGCCATGTCATCTTATAAAATATTTATAGTTTTGCTTTTTACAGTTTAGCTCTTAATTGACTTAGAATAGATTCATATGTGGTTATAAAGTTGGGATCCAGTTGCATGTTTTTCCATATGAATACCCACTTTTCCCAACTCATAGTTTTGAAAAGACCATTCCTAGTGTAAACAAAGATCTTTCATGCTACTTCTGTCATATTAAGTGACTATAAATTTTATAGTGTATTTCTAGGCTCTCCAGTCTATTGTATTAGTCTCTTATTCCTTTCAGTACCACACTGTCTTAATTATGTTGTAATAATTAAAAATAATTCTTGTTCGCTGGTAAGGCAAGTTGTCTTACCTTTATATTTTCAAGAGTTTCTTGGCCTTTATTGGCTTTTTGCACTTTCATGCTTCAGTATACATTTTAGAATGAGCTCCTTATGTTCAAACAAAACTTAGAAATATTGAATGGGATTGCATTGAATCTATACATCAATTTGGGAAAATTAACATGTTTACAATATTGAGTCTTATTAAAAATATGTCTTGCTCACTTTATCTGTATCTTTCCTGGTAATATATTTCAATATAATGTTTCTGTGTTCTTATATGATGTCTTACATATTTTTGTTAAGGTCTTTTCTAAGTACTTTGTGTTTTTAGTGGTACTGTAAATGTTGTTTTCTTTTTTAAACTGTTGCTAGTATCAGGATTTTTGTATACTGATTTTATATCCAACAACTGTACTAAACTCACATATTCTAATATTTTACCTGAAGAATCTTTTGGATTTTTCTAAATACACAATCATAGTGAATAATAACTTTATTTTCAGTTTATTTTATATATATAAATATGTGTTTGTGCGCATATTTCTTTTCTTTTTTTCTTATCCTGCTATATCAGGTAGTACCCTTTCGGACACTATTAGGAAAATAATGAATAGAAGTGGTAGTAACAGGTGTTCTTGCGTTATTTTGAGTCTCCTAGGGAAAACATTTAAAAGTAAAATATTTGATGTAGATTTAAAAAAATTAATGCTTTTCTTTTTGGCTCTATGAGTTTTGTTCTATGGTTCTATGAGTTTTAACCCATGTATAGATTTATGGAACCACTACCATAATCAGGATAGAGAATAGTTACATCACTCCCAAAATTCCTGTGTGCGCTGCCCCTTTGTAGTCAAACTTTGTCCACATCTCAAACCTTTGGCCACTGCTGCTCTGATCTGTTCTTCATCTCTATGGTTTTGTCTTTCCCAGAATGTCATATACATGGAATTAAACAATAGTTAGCCTTCTGAGACTGCCTTCCTTCACTCTGCATAATACCTTTGAGATTCATCTATGTTGACATATGTATCAATAGTTCATTCCTTATTATTGCTGAGTAGTATTCCATTCTATGAATATACTACAATTTATTTATAAATACCCATTGAATTATGTATGTTTTCTAGCTCTGCAACTTATTCAGCTTCCTTGGACAAGCTACTTAACTTCTCTATGCATTAGTTTCTTCATCCTTAATGGGGATAATGTACTTACATCATAGGGTTATTATAGGGACAAAATGAGTTAATACAGATGAAGTACTTAGATAATGCCTGATATATAGTCAGTGCTCAATAAATACAGTCCATTATTGTCCCGAATATTAGTAAATATTTTGAGGTGGAAAAGAACTTGACAAGTTCAAGGAATAGAAAGAAAGCCAGTGTGCCTGGACTGTACTGAGCGAGGGGAAGGCAGGGAGAGGTGTGTAGGAGCCAGGTCATGAAGGGCTGATGGGCTGCAGGAGGGAGTTTTGATTTCATTCTAAATGCAGTGGAAAACCAACGATGAGATGTGATCTGGTTCATGCCTTTAATAGATCATTCAGGGGCTGTGAGGAGAATGTGTTACGGTGGGTGATGAGAATGAAAGCAACCGACATTTTTAGGTTACTGCAGTGGTCCAGGGAAAAGAGAGACCATAGTGGTGGTTGTGGGGAGGGTGAGAAGTGGTCTCATTCAAGGGATGGTTTGGGTGTAGAACCCACAGAACTTGCTGATGGATTCCCAGCCCAGTGGAACACATGACACATTCTCCGTAAGAGCAGTGGTGTGACATAATAATCAACAGCAAGACTCCTCTCCTGTTCTGGCTTTACCAAAGATTCCCCTCATCCACTTTTGAATAGACATCTAAACTTTCATGCCTGATTTCTGAAATCCACTTGAAGAAATAGCCTGTTTTCTTGTACATTTTTAAATGACATCTAACTGACTTCTTCCTTACTCACGCTCACAACCTCAAACACATTTGTGAGAAACCGACTTATCCCACAAAAATGTTTACTCATAGCATTTTGCTTTGTGCTTTTCTGCAGCCTGTCTAGTTCTGTGACCCCACATACTTAGCTGTCCTGCTGGAAATAAAGTTGTCCTGGCTGCTTTATGCTTAGCCATCAGGATGGTAGTTTTACTGGTTGGCTGGAGTTCCTGTGTACACTTGGGACTTATTATTGGAATAAACATTATTAGACTCAGACTAAAATTGGACCAGAAATTTATTTTTGTCCTCCTTTCAACCTCAACTCACCCTAGATTCTCTCATCCAAATGACAAATGGTCTTGACTCTCTGAAGTGATCTAAAGATTAAAATCAGCCCTGGATCCTTGCATTCAAATGGAGATTTTTTTTTGAAACAGTTAAAAATAGAGTTCTCTGAGCTCACATAGAAAGTTTTCTTTCATTTCCTGTGTGTCTGCTCTTAATACATCTGTATTTGTTCTCTATGGGGCCTTAGCTTCCAACTCCTCCTTAAAGACAAACGCCTGACCCAGTCTTTATCTGGAACACCCATCATACTTTTCTTTTTTTTTTTTAACCCTATCCTATCTGCCCAATTTGGGGCTTCTCATAACTCAATATTTGCTAAATGGAAGGAAATCTCCCTTCTATCCTGAGCTACTTGTCATATCTTGCCCCAATTTTCAACATCTCTTGTCAGGTTAGTGTCAAATTGTGGCTTTTATTTACTCATTTTACTTATAGGAGGGCTTCTGGAATCTTGGAGGTTCTCAGCTTAATTTTCTGCATAATTTTGTGCTTCTTTGTAATTGGCTTTTTTTGTGATCTTACAGAATACCAAGCTGCTATTTTACACTTGAAGAGGGAGCACAAAGAAGAAATTGAAAACCTGCAGGTATGTCTCTTTGATTCTACTGAACTGATTATGTGAGATTGATACTTAGTTTTCTCATGTGCTGAAGTAAATTGTCCCCTTTTGTTGACATATTTACCTCGATAGCATCTGCAGCTTGCACCTGCTACGGGGCACTGAGTTTATCCTGGGGATGAAAGCCTTGAACTCCATTTTTTAATATAATTCAATTCCTGTTTTTTAAGGAATACTGCAAATGCATTTGATTGGGAAAATGATTTGATTAGAGAAAATGATGATTCTATTTTAAAGCAGGAAAGAAGATAGAGTATTTAGACTTTCACTGTTTATAAGAAGTCTTTAAAAAGTTATTTTTCTATAGAAAACAAACTGGTGGTTCCCAGAGGTGAGGCGGTTGAGGAGGTGGGTGAAATGGGTGAAGAAGATTAAGTGCAAACTTCTAGTTATAAAATAAATCATAGGGATGTTATATACAGCACAGGAATATAGTCAATAATATTGTAATAACTTGTATGGTGACAGATGGTTACTATACTTATTGTGGTGATCACTTTGTAATAAATATAAATATCAAATCATTATGATGTACACCTGAAACTAATATATTGTATGTCAATTATGCTTCAATTAAAAAAAGACAGAAAGGAAAAATTATTTTTCATATGCACAGTGTAAATTATTTTGGTTTATTCCCATTCATGTATTTGTATGTCTGTCCCTGAACACATTCCTGAAAGATGATGTCATGCAGATTAAGGCACTTAAGGAAGTGGCCTTAGTGAGGGGAGGAGCTGTGCTGAGCCATCCACTCCTTATCTCTAGGGAGTGCTGGGAAATTGCTGACTGATCCTCCTTTGTGAAGCCCTGGAAGACCGAGGGATCGTTTCCTTCTCCAGACATGTGATTGTCATTCCCTTCTGTTTGGTGTTTGCTTGTAGTGCCTCAAACAGGAAGTTTGAGTCTTAATTTCAAATAAGTAAATATTGAGTCAGGCACTGACTCTAGTTTACTGATGGCTGGATGACCTTATACCTCAGGAAAGAAGAATATTGAAATTTAAGTAAAATTTGTCACTTATTTAGTGCTAACTGATTACTTGCTAACTTAATGAATTTGTGGATCGATTATCTTTCTTTTCAGTAAGTGATAATGCGCTTTTTAAAATAACAGACACGGTATTGGATTATACGTGAAGCCATTTCAAGTAGCAAAAAGATCATTAAACAAGTTGTATTGTGTATGAATTCAAACCACCCCATCCACCTTGGTTTAAGTAGCGTGGGAGAGCGAATGAATACATTTCACAAAAAAACAAAAAAGTGGAAAAATACCTCTGTCTCCCAGGGGAAAAAGAGAGGTGGAGGCCCTTACCTCCTTTGTTGCAAAATGCTCCACAGAGACCTCTCTTTCTTTTCCTTTGTTCTGGTGTGCAAAAGATTCTCAGCGATCTCAGAGGAACTGAAATGGGGATTAATTTAAGAAACACATTGGTAATGAGGGTAGGTACAGAAGTGATTCTGTGAACAGAAGTTTTATGTAACACTTCAGTTGTGAGTTAACACCAGCTTCCCCACGTTGTAGACCAGCCCTGTGAGGGCTTTGACAGCTGAATAATATTCACAGTAGGAGCAGGTACTTACAATTTTTGAGTCCTTATTTTGTGCCAGACATTGTTCTAGGCATATTGCGTGCATTATTTCGTGTCATTTCCACAAAAATCCTATGATCTTACATCTCGAACTAAGAAAAGGTTGGAAGAGGGAAAGAGAATAAATGGAAGGGGGAAAAGTATATTGGGATCATGATATCCATTTGAAGTCAAGTTTAGACCATGGGATGATTGACAAGACTAAAAGTTAAGAAATGTTCCTAATTAGACCTTAAGTTTTTTTTAAGTATCTCTGAAAGAATTGTCTGCTCCTTTATTGCTATTAGTAAATTTTAATTCTTTTTCTTGTCACATATTTGTGATTTATTCCTAATTGCTGAAACCCTGGGGCCATGGCACCCCACCCCCATCAGGGCGGGGACAGTGGACCCAATCTATGCACTTAACCATAGTTGGGAACTGTTCCAGCAGTCACAGGCTGACAACCCTCAATAGGAAACTGGCAACTCACATTCCTGACCTGACCTAAAGAACGATTTTGTTGACAAACACAGTGTTTTTTTTGTGTGTGTGAGGAAGATCAGCCCTGAGCTAACATCCATGCTAATCTTCCTCTTTTTGCTGAGGAAGACCAGCTCTGAGCTAATATCTACTGCCAATCCTCCTCCTTTTTTTTCCCCAAAGCCCCAGTAGATAGTTGTATGTCATAGTTGCACATCCTTCTAGTTGCTGTATGTAGGACGCGGCCTCAGCATGGCCAGAAAAGCGGTGTGTCAGTGCGCGCCCGGGATCCAAACCCGGGCCGCCAGTAGCGGAGCGCGTGCACTTAACCGCTAAGCCACGGGGCCGGCCCACAAACACAGTGTTTTAAAGATTGAATTAGGAATAGATGTTTTAAAATATGGAAGGATTTCTAACTGCTTCTAAAAAAAAATTGGAAAATCTGGCAACAGTGGGCTTCTTTTCTTATATGACTTCAACTAGCAAGTGTACACTTTATCTGGGACACGTGTTCTCTTGTTTGCCACTGTCCCCACTCTGTTTGCCTGCCTGGCTCTTTTATGCTTTAATTAACCCCTGTTCTCTGGAAGAGGGAGAAAATAACTAAATTGGCAGCAACACTAACCAGTCAGAAAGATGCAGTTCATAAAAGAGACAGTAACCCAGCCTGGCTTTCCTTGTGGGCACTCGCTGACTGTCATCTCTACCTGTTTTATTTCACAAAGTAACAAAGTCACGTCTATTGTCACAGGACTAGTGGAAGATAATTGGTGAGAGAACTGATATTTCGATGCTCATCTCTTTATATGTGATTTCCACTGGCAGCCTTTATTGCCCATTAGATTTTCTTTCTTCACTTATAGGTCACAGAGAAGTCAGACGTGTTTTAGGCCTTCAATATGTGTTTCTAGAATAAGAAAGATTTCATGCTTCAAGTATACAGGAGAAGTGGTTCATTCTGTCACCATATGCAAAAATTGATGTGTATTCCATTTGGTTTTTTTGGAATGTTTTCATAGAGTTTAAAGAAACAGCGTGATTCAATAAACAGAACCTAAATTCAGCTTTCTATTCTGTTTTTGACTATAGACTGGTAGGGAAATCACTTAAAAGTTCAATTCTCCCACCTGCCAAATGGAATCCTTATCACCTAAAATAATTTGATTGGAGGTTGACATCTTTAGCCCAGAGTCCCAAAGCTTGTAATTGGAGGAGTCTGGGGTTTTTAATCTCATGTGTGCTTTGCAGCCAACATTTGTGGAGTGCTGTACTATAGAGAGGTCACAGGGCTTGGTCCTGGGATGGGCTTTTCAAATGTGTAGCAACTTACATATTCCTTTTATAGTTCAGAAGCAAAGATTTATTGATGACTTGAATGAATCAATTGCTAGAGCCTTATATTTGTATACCTTCTATGCAAAGTCAAAGCACTTGGCTGACTTTTCTATTCAAATCTTGGATAAGAGAGTGGTGGCAGGTCAAACATTTTCCATGACTTCACTGTTTTATGTCATTTATAATATAACCACAGTGAAATCCTTTAATTTTGTCCGTGTCCTTCATTTAAACTCTGCCTTGAGAGTTTGTGATTACTTCATGATACTCATCATCTGCTTCGTTTTTCCATTCTGGATAATTGTGTGTTACTGACTTCATTTTTGAGAAGGTAGCACCTTTATGGGTTCTCAGTTACTTGAGAAATTTTGCAATGGTAGCCATTGCACGACAAGTTCATGACTGTTGGGTGGAAACATAGTTCAGACCTGCCCTTCTTCTTTTTTTTTTTTTT